GTCTTCTGTGAATAAAGACAGTGCTATATAGACCTTACCTCTTCCCAATTCCAGCCGCCTGTTCTTCAATGAACACGATTTGGGAAAGAAGAATGGCCATGCAGCACTCCTAGGAGGGAATCAGTAGCTCAGTCAAAGACTCTACCCAACATCCATAACACTTGCCAGAAATCCTTGTTTTATAGCATTAATCAGAGTGTCATATACCTTAATAAAAACAATGAAAAACAATAATGATTTTATTCCTTAAAGGAACTCAAGGAAAAATTAAATGAAAACAATACTGTGGTGGCATTTTCCTGTGTGGAAGAACATAAGAAGTGTAAAAGAAGCTGTGACTAGCTTTTGTTTTTACAACGGGTGTATTTTCTAAGAGTAATATTTCTATGAAAACTTTTTACTTGTAATATTTGCTTACAGTGAAAGCAAAAAACAAAACAGATACATCAAAACAATTTTAAGGAGAGCATTTATGTAGATGACTTTCTCTTCTTTATAATTTTCCACACTTCACTCATATGCCCACATACAATTATTAATAGTTTTAAACAGAAAATATTGATGTAGCATACCTTTATTTGTATGTTTAAGTTTTTTTTTTTTTCTTGAGACAGAGTCTTGCTCTGTCGCCTGGGCTGGAGTGCAGTGGCACGATCTTGGCTCACTGCAACCTCTGCCTCCCAGGTTCAAGCAATTCTTCTGCCTCAGGCTCCTTAATAGCTGGAATTACAGGCGAGCACCACCACAACCCAGCTAATTTTTGTATTTTTAGTAGAGAACAGGTTTCACCATGCTGGCCAGGCTAGTCTCAAACTCCTGACCTTAAGTGATCCCCCTGCCTTGGCCTCCCAAAGTGCCAGGATTACAGGCAGAAGCCACTGTGCCTAGCCGGTACATTTAATTTTTAACATATATAAACAGTATGTTTAATTTTTATATATGACTAGCAATGTAGTAAGTCTAAAGATTTGTTCAAATTGACCTCTTTATATGATAGTCAAAAAATTATACTAAGATTAACTTATCAACATATTGTTTAAAGACATCCATTCTATCCTCCCCAAAAAGATTTATTTTCTGAATGTATATTACCTTTAAAGGAATTAGACAATATTAACAGTCAACGGCAGCAGTCCCCAACCTTTTTGGTACCAGGGACTGGTTTCATGAAAGACAGTATTTCCTGGGGAGCAGGAGTTGTGGTTTCAGGATGAAACTGTTTCACTTCACATCATCAGGCATTAGATTCTCATAAGGAGTGCATGATCCCGCACATGTGCACTTCACAATATGGTTCATGCTCCTGTCAGAATCTAATGCCCCTGCTGATCCGATGGGAGGCAGAGCTCAGGTGGTAATATTCACCCGCCACTCATCTCCTGCTATCTGACCTGGTTCCTAACACACCATAGACCAGTACTGGTCTGCGGCCTGGTGGAGTTGGGGACTCCTGCTCTAAGGCATGCATTATCAACAGGGTCAATATCAGACCTAGGAGACAAAAGTTAGTTCCCGGGGTGTAAAAAAGTTAGATATTGTAAGGCTTAGCAGCAGCCCTTCAAGGGCTACAGTACAGTGTATAGTTTATTTGTGGTACTAAAATTTCATGGGGTTTGGGGGAACAGTCAGGAAAATAAAAGCACAGATGAGACAGCTATTTTACTGGCAATGCTAAAATTAATGTATATATACTTTCAGGTTGAAGCTCTTGGGAATAAAGATATCAGCTCTATATACACATAACTCACTCTCCCTTCCTGAAAAAAATAAAAAAATAAACAGGCTGGGCACTGTGGCTCATGCCTGTAATCCCAGCTCTTTGGGAGGATGAGGTGGATGGATCAGGAACTCAGGGATTTGAGACCAGCCTGACCATCATGGTGAAACCCTGTCTCTACTAAAAATACAAAAATTAGCCTGGCATGGTGATGGGCACCTGTAATCACAGTGACTCAGGAGGCTGATGTAGGAGAATCGCTTGAACCTGGGAGGCAGAGGTTGCAATGAGCCGAGATTGTGCCACTGCACTCCAGCCTAGGCAACAAGAGTGAGAGTCTGTCTCCAAAATAAATGGGCATGGGGGAATCCTCTTGTTGAGTCAGTTAGAAACAGTTCTCAGTATCTAGTAAAAGCATGCACTTGCTGGCAGACGTAGCCTCCTGATTCTCAACGACAACCTAGGACTAGTGGTTTTAAGGACCTATGAGCTCTTTTTAAAGACTCCCTCACAAACTGATGGGGGAATTATTCCCCTGTTACACCTGGAACATTCAGATATAGAGTAGAATTTGACTGGTATTTAAAAAACATGATTCTCCATCCAATAACTACATGGACTTTTCTGGAGCTCAATAAAAGACAACACGCTAACTCCTGTTTCCCACTCCATTTAGAGAAATTATATGGGACACACTCTTTTGTCATTCAGAAAAGGAAAACTTATTATTGCATTCATTATATAAGTTTTACCAAAAATGAAAAAAGAAGAAAAAGCGTCAGTGATTTAAAACCTACTATGGTGGCTCATACCTATAGTCCCAGCCACTCAGGAGGTTGAGGCCAGGAGGATCACTTTAGCCCAGAGGTTAGAGATCACCCCGGGCAACACAGCAAGACCCTGTCTCTAAAAAATAGATAAACAAAATAAAACCTACAACAGATGCAAAAAACTATATCTTACATGATTTTTCTGATCTCTCCAAATCAGTCGGTGTGTGCTAAGAAGGAGAGTCCCAGCATTAAATTTTATCTAGAAAGAAAGAGCATCACAAAATATTAATAACAATGGTTCAGATTTTCTTCTTCATGAATTATACAACACTCAATCTTATAAATAAACATTTTACTTTTAGCATAGGCTTATCACAAATTAAAGAGGACCAATGCTACATACTTCATAACCTATCTCCATAGTCTTGACAGAATTGGAAGAAAATGCAAACAACCAAGTATGATACATATTCATACACTGCATTCCATGCAAAGGTAAAATAGAAATGATGAGGTAGAACTGCATGGATTACCATGGAACTCTAAGACATTGGATGGATGGGAAAGAAAGTGATTTACAGCAATAGACAATATTACATATGCTCTATATGTGTGTGGTTGCAGACACACACGTAGTGAAAAGGGTCGAAGAGGAACACATAGTTATCTGTTAACAATCATTATCTCAGAAAAAGTGGGAGGAAAGGAGTAGAAAGGAAGCAAAGAGCTCTTTTTACCTCTACACTTCACTACTGATTGAATTTTTTTTGCAGTTCATGTATAACACTCAAACATTTTAAATAAAAACAAAATCCAGGAATAGATACAAATACATACAAAAATAAATATGGATGGAGATTCAATCAATGGCACTGGGACAACTGGGTTGCCAGGTAGAAAACAGAAAAAGCCATATATCTGGGTTAGTACCTAATACAATGCACCAAAATGAATTCTAGATGGATCAAATGATTGAATAAAAAAAAGAAAAATTATAAAAGCACTAGAAAAAAATCATGAGATAATTTTTTAAGTAATCTGAGTGGAGAAGACCTTTCTAAGAAGGCATTAAACCCATTAGCATTAAAGTAAAACTTCCAAATTCATATGTGGAAGCCCTAATCCTTGATGCCATGGTATTTGGCGATGGAGCCTTTGGGGGTGATTCGGTTTCGAAGATCATGAGGTGGGGCCCTCCTGATGGGACTAGTATCTCTATAAGAAGATGAAGAGACAGGATGGCTTCCTCTCCATGAGTGCGTGCTGAGAGAAGACCGTGCAAGTACACAGGGAAATGGTGGTCATCTGCAAGCCAGGAAGGTCCTCACCAACAACCAAATCTGCCAGCACCCTGATCTTCCAGCACCAGACTTCCCAGTCTCCAGAACTATGAGAAATAAACGCCTGTTGTTTAAGCCACCAGGTTATGGTATTCTGTTTTAGCAGCTAAGCTGACTAGGACATATGCTTTGGGTTTGTACCTAATACAATGCACCAAAATGAATTCTAGATGGATCAAATGATTGAATAAAAAAAGAAAAAATTATATTATATTCAAAATATAAATTTTAAAATTTCTTCAAAACTACAATACAATCACCAAGAAATGCCAGCTAGGTCTTTAGGACCAAACCTTTAACCCTCACTACTTGTTACTCATCCCTGAAAGTAATATAAATAAGCAAATGTTAGAGTTGGAACCCAAGAGATGAATGAATTAAACCCCTATGTTTCTGTTAAAAACAAGATATGTGCTAGAAGCTTCTATTAACTGAAGTTACTAGAAAGTGGAATTTGCCATAAGATAGGGCTTGCTTGTGTCCTTTCCAGGAATATTCAGTTATTTTAAAAGTTATGTCTGTTGCTCACTAAGTCCTAGATAAAAAAAAAAAAAAACAACAAAAGTTACAAGGCTAGTCCCATTTATAAGGTAGCCTTACAACATAAACTCTATGGAAAGCATAATAAGATTGGAATTGTTTTGAGTTTAAAATAACATGTTAAAAATATTTGTAAAGTAAATAACGAATTGGAGCATTATTATATATCATTCTTAAATAAAAATAATAAATTATATATGTGGTTGATAACATAGAGACTTATGATATTAATATAGAAAAAAGCAGGTCTCAAAATAGTACATATAGCATGACTCCATACACAGAACACCCCAGAAGTAATTGTTTATGCATAGTAGGATTATTGATTATTTCAAGTTTCTCCTTTTGGCTTATCCATACTTAACAACTTTATTACATGTCTAATAAATAAAAAGAAAAGATTGATCACAGGCATGTACATCTTCATGAAACTCTGAACTGTAATTATAACTGTATATACAATCATTTGTTGTTAAATCAAGCACACACAGGAACATGTGTCAAAAAGTCCCCGTATAATAAATAACACACTTCTTGACATACATTTTAAAAATTGTTTCTAAGAGTAAGGTCTGATGGAATTATTATTTATTTATTTATTTAAGACGGACTTTCGCTCTTGTTGCCCAGGCTAGAATGCAATGGCGCGATCTCAGCTCAGTGCAACCTCCACCTCCTGGGTTCAAGCGATTCTCCTGCCTCATCCTTCTGAGTAGCTGAGATTACAGGCATGCACTACCATTTTGTATATTTACATCTATGTTTCCTCAACATGGAGAAACCCTGTCTCTACTAAATATACAAAATTAGCTGCAATTTTGTATATTTAGTAGAGACAGGGTTTCTCCATGTTGGTCAGGCTGGTCTCAAACTCCCAACCTCAGGTGATCCACCTGCCTCAGCCTCCCAAAGTCTGGGATTACAGGCATAAGCCACCTCGCCTGGCCTGATTGTATTATTGTTTTAATAGTATTAAGCACTAAATAATGATATGGTTAGTAAACTTTAATGAAAACAGACCTTCTGAACCATCTAGTCTAAATACACTTCACGAGAGATTGTCCCATCAACAAACTTCAACACGTCAGAGAATAGACCTTATGAGTCCATGTTTTTCTCAGAATCAGAAATAAAACACATGTACTGTTGGCACTCAGTTCAGTCTGGCTTCAAACATTTTGGTTAATTTCATTTATGCAAAACCAAGTAACTTAGTTCTCAATATTTTTTATTATTTTATTATTATTTTTTTTTTTTTGAGACAGAGTTTCGCTCTTGTTACCCAGGCTGGAGTGCAATGGCTCGATCTCAGCTCACTGCAACCTCCACCTCCTGGGTTCAAGTGATTCTCCTGCCTCAGCATCCTGAGTAGATGGGATTACAGGTGCCTGCCACCACACCCAGCTAATTTTTTGTATTTTTAGTAGATACAGGGTTTTACCACGTTGGCCAGGCTGGTCTTGAACTTCTGACCTCACGGGATCCGCCAGCCTTGGCCTCCCAAAGTGCTGGGATTACAGGTGTGAGCCATCTCGACAGGCCCCATGTCATAATTTAATTAATCAATCCCTATGGTGGGCATTTAGATTGCTTCCAATTTTTCCACATATATAATAATATTATATGTAATATATAATAATGCTAGGATTAACATTCTCATATATAATATTTTTACACATCTCTGATTATTTCTCAAAGGCAAATTCCTAAAAGTGAAATTGTTAGCTGAAAAAGATTAAACATTTTCTAAATCTTCTGATATATGCTGCCAACTTGCCACTTTATACATTACTAACCTTACATTATCTTTTAAATTAGCCGAGGCTACAGAAGCGTCTGTGAATTCAAACAAATGACCTGTCTACAGTGCTTCTGAAAGTAACACATTATCCAGTCATAATGAGGCCATGAAAATTATGCCTGTATAAACAAGCAAGCATGCATGTATTCATAAGAGGCACTTGGGCAGTGGGAAGAGCAGTCCATTGGATCTGGTTTGCAATTCTATCTCCACCAGTTAATAGTTGTATGACCTTGGACAGCTCACAGTTTTCTCAAGTATCAATTGTGGGTCTCAGTTCTCTCATCTTTGGGAAGATTAGCTGTATTAAACATTACATCAACAGTGGCACTGGTGACTGCTATATTATGAAGTCCTTCTTTTTTTTTTTTTGAGATGGAATCTCTGTTGCCGAGGCTGGAGTGCAGTGACGTGATCTTGGTTCACTGCAGCTCACGTGAACAAAGCAAAGGCTTTGGGAGTCTGATCAACAGAGATTTAAATCTTCTCTTTGTGGATCTTAGGCAACTCACTGTATGTCTTAGCGTTACTTTCTTATTCAGTAAAATACATCATATTCCTGGTGAGATGATTAAATACGATGGCATATACAGCTCCTGGCTCATAGTAGGTATTTAATTATTCAGGTCTTTAAAAAAATGTGTTTCACACCCACAACCAGCCAGGAGATACAAGGATGAGCAAGGTACACCTATGCTCCAGGAGCATCCAACTAGTCTAGAAGACAGGCATGTGCACACTTGCCCAAGGTGTGGGTTGGGATGCAAAGCTATGAAGGCTAAGTAATCTGGACTGCAGTCCCCAGGCCAAGGGAGCTAGTGAGGCATCCTAAAAGGGAGACTAACTTCATCAGATTTGGGGGCTGACGTGTAGCCTTGTATAGTCTTTAGCACCACAGGAGATCTGGAAACCTTCCAACAGATGAAGGAAACCTCATAACGCTCTTTCCTCCAGAAGTCAGCCTGTGCCTCATTCAGCCTGGGGACCAAGTAGCCTCAAGGCAATTCAGCAAGTGGCTAAGTCAGTTCAGCCCTGGGCACAGTGGTGAGGGGACTCCTCTTAGAGCTCCACTCAAGTTTCAATCTTTTAGAAGAGTTAATTCTTTAGAAGAGTTAAGACCCTGACTAGATCACAGGGTCTAAAGCATTTTTCCCCCATGATTAGTTTCTTAAACCTCTGACATCTATATACTTGTCTGTTAAAACAATGAGCAAAACTTTTAAAGTAAAAATTAAAACTTGCTGGTTCGACAGTGTATTTTTCATATAAAGGTACTAACAGTTGTTATTTTCCATTGTTTTGAATCTATCACAGCTATACTGCCTGCCAGCAAGTGTTCCTAGTCTTCACATTGGAGTTCCACAGATAGTAGTATGCCACGCTCTGCAAAAGCATGACTTCCTAGTGCTCCCTCAAGGACTGGCACTGGAGGAGTCTCTGAGGACAGATCTGCCACTGTCAACATTCAGTTCCTCTCAGAGAGAGGGCAAAATCAAAACGCCAAGGAAGGGGAGGTGGATTAACCTTCCCATTTAAAATAGTCACAGAGATGTAAATTGGTAAGAAAGGGAAAAAAGGTAGCTTGCCACTCCAATCCGGGGATGGAAGACTCAACTTGAGATCAAACTAGTTGAAGTGCCAAGGCAGGCTGGGCACGGTGGTTCACGCCTGTAATCCCAGCTCTTTGGGAGGCCGAGGCGGGTGGATCATTTGAGGTCAGGAGTTTGAAACCAGCCTGGCCAAGATGGTGAAACCCCGTCTCTACTAAAAATACAAAAATTAGCTGGTGTGGTGGCGGGAGGCTGAGGCAGAACTGCTTGAACCCGGGAAGTGGAGGTTGCAGTGAAACGAGATCCTGCCACTGCACTCCAGCCTGGGCAACAGAGTGAAATTCCGTCTCAAAATTAATTAATTAAATTAAGAAGTGCTAAGGCAGTAAGTGAAATTATTTAAGGAAATTAAATATCCACGCAAATTATTTAAGGAAAAGACCTTTACTCAATAATACAGGCAATACAGCCCATGGAAAATGACCTAAGGGAGTCAGGGGACCTGGTCCAATGTCATCTGTGCCTCTACATAGCTGTAAGCACTGACCAGGAAAAGCTATGAGTTGAGGAACTTACATCAAAGTACAGCGGGAAGTGTCGTTAACAAAACGGCAAGAGAAGAGAGGCAGCAAATTAAAACTTCTGGAAACCAAAAATGCTTGTGGGTAAATGAGTTTAAAAAATTTTCTAACTCCAGTTTATACATTTCAACCCAGGACAGAAACTATTTCGTAGTTTCACAAAAGTATCTACAAAATACTTACACTTCCTATTTCTCCTCTCGATTTGCAAACGCACCTTCGAAGATTTATGCTTGCATTACAAGGCACGGTCTACTATTAATATAACACTTTACAAAACATACGCTCAGAACGCCTTTCTAAAGCAATTAGAAAACAGAAACCCAACAGACTCTGGCAAGGGCATTCCAATGAGACACTGACACCTCTTTAGGAAATCCTGTCGACGCAACCCCTCACCACTCTGCACAGGGCAGATTTGCCAATCCCCCCGCCTGTATAAGGTCCCAGCTAAAGCTTCCGCGGGGGCACGGACTGTACGGCCTCACAGAAAGGCGGAACCGAGCTGTCCAGTGCCGAGGCCGCGGTGGGTGTCGTCAGGGTGTCTGGAACCCCGCCGAGGAAGTCGGCTGCCCGATCGCCGCCCAGAGCCCGCAGACCCACAGCGCGCCTTTTCCCGGGCACCGCTGCTGTGCGCTCCGGGAAGCATGCAGGGAGGCGGGACGCGGCCGCGATCCGCGCCTGCTGGGAACCGTGCCAAAGTCGGGTACCGCGCTGAGAAGGCGCCCGAGCTCCCCGGGCGGCGCGCGACCGGCCGGCGGGGAGGGCAGGAGCGCCTGGTACCGCACAGAGGCCGGCCGGGCCGCAGAGGGCCGGGAGCGAGACCGGGAACCGGGCCGCGCCAACCCGGGCCGCGCGCTCACCAGGGGACTTTCCGCCAGCCCTTTGGGAAGGCCGGCCGACGCCCTACCTTCTCCTCGCAGTCGTTTTCGCACCCCGCGCTGCTGGATCACTAGGGTTTCGTTGATCTCCAGGAGGCCGCTGGTCCAAACGAAGCGGTCCATGGCCGCAGCCTCCCGCCCCGGCCCTCCGGGGCAGCGAGCTGCGCGCCGGGCAGCCTACGGCGCCCCCTAGCGTCAGACGGGGCGGGTGAGGGAGGGAGGGAGCGGCCTGGGCCGGAGCGGGCGCGGCTCGGAGGTGCGCCGAGGGACGTGGAGAAGTGAGTGGAGCGCCCCTGGCGGTCCATTCGCAGCCAGCCTTTTAGAACCCTTGATGGGCAGGCGGTCCACATCTTTCTAAATTCAGAGCTTATATGGAGGCGAGGGAGCCCCGACCAAAGCTTGGACTTCCTTATTGTGCATTATGCCTGCATGTTTGTGGCAGTTTTCTTGTCAGTATCCAGAATGTTGCCATGTTCATTAATGAGTGCAAATAATCATGTAACCCTTTTTCAAATGAATATTTATGGCATGCATTGTCTCTTTACAGCTGAAGTCAGTACTAAATATGCTGCTTTTTTCCCCAAGTATTTTGGCCGGGCGCAGTGGCTCACGCCTGTGATCTCCGCACTCTGGGAGGCCGAGGCGGGCTGATCACGAGGTCAGGAGTTCTAGAGCAGCCTGGCCAACATAGTGAAACCCTGTCTCTACTAAAAATACAAAAAACCGCCGGGCGTAGTGGCACACGCCTGTAGTCCCAGCTAGTCAGAAGGCTGAGGCAGGAGAATTCGTTTGAAACTCGGAGGCGGAGGTTACAGTGAGCCGAGATTGTACCACTGCACTCCAGCCTGGGCTACAGAGCCAGACTCAGTCTCAAAAAAAAAAAAAAAAATTGGACACCTCATTTACCCTGATGTGATTATTATACACTGTATGCCTGTTTTAAAATATCCCATGTGCCCCATAAATATATACACCTATGTGCCCACAAAGATTAATTTTTTTAATTGGTGGAAACATTTTATTTAACCGGGCTTGGTGGCACCTGCCTGTATTCCCAGCTGCTTCCCAGGCTGAGGTGGGAGGATTGCTTGAGCCAGGAGTTTCGCACCACTGGGCGACATAGAAAGACCCTTTCCCCCTCCACCCAACTCCCCCACTCCACTCCACGCCCCCCACCCCCAGGCTCAGAAAAAAAAGATTATTTTTATTTAGGAATTTCCAACATTAATACAGACCTCGTGTGAATTTGCATTTCGATATGTAGATCTCCTATAACTCATCTGTTAGTTGGTCTGCGCAAAGCCATCCATAGCTGCTGCTCTCACCCACCAGGCGGCTGCAGACCCTAGCCATTTCATTTTTATATTTTGCTTATATGGAGCACCTATAGATGTCTTCCTACAACTGATACATATTTTTCCCTTTAGGATTATTTTCTTACAGTGTCTTCCCAAAATAAAATAACTGTTTTAAAGGTTGTGAACACATTTTAGAGAGCCTACCACTTATGGGGGTAAGTGCTTCTTATTTTGGTTCTTACATTTAGGTCTATGCTCCACTTTGGGGGCCTAAGGCTGCGTGCCCATGTGAGCAGAGGGGCAGAGGGACAGAGGGCAGGCTTGCTCTCTGTTCCCAGGGCTCCACATCTCCCCCAGTCTTGGAGTCAGTGGTCTGTGTCCAGGCTTTACAAGAAAGGCAAGGAATATTCATTCTTTCCAATGAATATAAGCCATCTCTCCCACAAACTGAATTGCCACTTTTACATGTTCTAAAATCCAGTGTGTATTTTGGTCTATTTCTAAACAGTGTCTTCTGTATTTCATATTTTTCAATTTCCATCATCAGCATATGCCCAATAACTAAAAGTTCTTTAAAAACATTTGAATTGCTGTAATATGCTATCTTGTGTATCACAATTTACCTTCATTGCCTGATTTTTGATGATTTAATTGTTTATAACCTTTTAGTCTTTTTTAATTGAAAGTAATATGTGACCTAAACATTCTAATCAGATGGGGAACTGTGCAGTCTTACCTGGGCTTTGCAATGATCAAAATGTTAGGCAATGAGGACATTTGCAAGGTATGTTTTCTGCCCTTGAGGGATGTACAGTCTGTAGTATACAAATAGAAGCCTGGCATATGACAGCTGCTGGGATAGACAACTGTACAAGGGTTTCCCATATCCAGGCTGCAGCAAGGACAAATGTCATGTGTCTTATATATGGCAATAAATGAATAGACAAAAGGTTTTAATTTTTATGAAGTCTAGTGTATTTTTTCTTTCATAGCTCATAGAATTTGCCTCCTCACTTAAGAAATCTTTTTTCCACAAACCAGAGATTGATACTGATTAAGAAATCTTTGCCTAACACGAAGTCACTGAGATTTTCTCCTATGATTTCTTCTAGAAGCTTCATAGTTTTGGCTCTTACATTTAGGTCTATGCTTTATTTTTTATTTATTTATTTTTTTTGAGAAGCATCTTCTCTGTCACCCAGGCTGGAGTGCAGTGGTGCCATCTCAGCTCACTGCAACCTCTGCTCCCAGGTTCAAGCAATTCTCCTGCCTCAGCCTCCTGAGTAGCTGGGATTACAGGTGCCCACCACCACACCAGGCTAATTTTTGTATATTTAGTAGACACAGGGTTTCACCATGTTGGCAAAGCTGGTCTCAGACATTTGACCTCAGGTGATCCACCCACCTTGGCCTCCAAAAGTGTTGGGATTATAGGCCTGAGCCACCAGGCCTGGTCCTATGCTCCATTTTGTAGTTGTCAGGTTTTGTTTTTGCTTTTCATTCTTGTACACGGGTTATGAAAAAGGTCAAAGTTGATATTTTGTATGTAGATATCCAGTTGTCCCATACCATTTGTTGGAAAGATTATCCTCCTTCACCGAGTTGCCTTGGAAATTGGAAAAATCAAGTGGCCAGGTAGGCTTGATTATATTTCTGGAATTGCAGAGAGCCAGAGTCGCCCCCCTCCTCCCGGGAGATCAGCAGCAAGGCTGCTGGGAACTTTGGTTGAACTTCAGAGAAGTGAAACCATAATAGGAGGATGTGTATGTCTCGGGGTAGAACAAAGACAGGACTTAGAGAGATAACCAGCTTTCGCTGACCTTGCTGCAAGATAGTTGTTAGCTGAAGTATGTTAACTGAAGTATGAGAATAATAACCACAGGCTGTTCTAAGTGACTGTACCCTTCCTCTGTTATGTGCTTTGTGAACAAATATAATAAAGTACTCTGAGGTAGGTCGGGGCCAGAGAGACTGACATCTCACTCTCCGGGACCGCCTGGCCCAGCTTTCTGATTGTGTTTGTGTCCTTCTTTATCCCCAATGCTTCCCTCTTAGGTCTTTGAACCCTTGTGCAGCGCGGGATGCAGCACGCATCACATGGAATCTCCTTTGTATTCCATATATTTCTTTGTCTTTCTTTACACCAGTAGCATAGCATACTGTCTTCATTACTGTAGCTTTATACGTCTTGAGATCAGGTAGGTACTCTTCCAACTTTGTTCTATTTCAATTGTGTTGCCTAATCTAGATCCATTACATACACATTTAAGTTTTAGAACCCCATCACCAATTTCTATGGAAAACTTTCTAGAATTTTGATAGGGATGGGATTGAACCAGTCAGCTTGGAGAAAATAGACTTCTTAACAATATTAAGTCTTCTGATCCATGAGCATGTAATATCTCTCCATTTATTTAGGGTTTTTAAAATTGCCATCAGCAATATTTTGTACTTTTACCCAGGATGTTTTTGCCAGAACCTCCCACTTTCTGAATCTGATGGTCCCTTTCAGTCTCAGTCCTACTAGACCTCTGCAGTGCCCAACACTATGGTCCATTACCTCTTTCTTCAGCCTCTCTCTTCCCCAGACTTTGTGCCTCTCACTGTGTCCCCATTGTCTTCCTTTCAGATTGTCCTTCCCTGTTCTCTCACAGGCACTTTACCTTCTTCACGTGGCACAGGAGGAACAACTAATGCTAATTAATCATCAGTTCGCCAGGTGCCTGCAGTTTAATGGTCAGCTGTGTTGGCAAAGACTGGTTCTGGAAGGAAGTTTTTTTTTTTTTTTTTGGCTCTTTTAGGAAAGGATCTGCTTTCTCTCCAATAATTGTGGGCAGTAATATTAAAAACTGTCTCAAACAAAAATAGACCGTCATTGGCGTGGATGAGTCTGGAGATTAGAGGAGAATTGCCACGATGAAAAATCTAGTAGTTTTGCAGGTTTTCCTATTCACCATCTTAGCCTATTGAGATCTCCATGGTATCTTTTGAGTCACTTTCATTAATCACCATGCCAACTTATAAAAATTATTGAGATAAGATTCATATAACATAAAATTAACCATTTTAGTTTATTTTATTTTTTGAGACTGAGTCTTGCTCTGTTGCCCAGTCTGGAGTGCAATGGCACAATCTTGGTCCATTGCAACCTCCACCTACTTGGTACAAGCTATTCTGCCTCCACTTCCCAAGTGGCTGGGATTACAAGTATGCACCACCGTATCCAGCTAATTTTTATATTTTTTGTGGAGACAGAGTTTCACCATCCTGGCCAGGCTGGTCTCGAACTCCTGACCTCAGACGACCCCCCCCCCCCCCGCCACCTCCCAAAGTGATGGGATTATGGGCATGGGTCACTGCGCCTGGCCTATTTTATTTTTTTGGAGATGGAATCTCACTCTGTTGCCCAGGCAGTGGTGGGATCTCTGCTCACGGCAACCTCTGCCTCCTGGATTCAAGCGATTCTCCTGCCTCAGCCTCCCGAGTAGCTGGAACTACAGGCGTGTGCCACCATGCCCAGCTAATTTTTTATTTTTGTATTTTTAGTAGCGACTGGGTTTCACCATATTGGCCAGGCTGCTCTCGAACTCCTGATCTCGTGATCTACCCACTGCCAAAGTGCTGAGATTACAGGTGTGAGCCACTGCACCCGGCCTAAAATTAACCATTTTAAAGTGAACAACTCAGTGGCATTAATACATTTACAATATTGCACAACCACTACCTCTGATTCCAAAACATTTCATTTACTTCAAAGTAATGGATCCCTTAACCATTAAGCGGTCTCTCCCCAGTCTCCCCTACCCTCAGCCTCTGGCAAGTGCTATCTGAGTTATTTTACTATGGATGTACCTATTCTAGATATTCCATATAAATGGAATCCTACCATATGTAACCTTTCATATATTACTTCTTTTACTTAGCATAATGTTTTGGAGGTTTTTGAATTACTTATTAACTGCTCTGTTTTGTTCTCTCACTTGATAGAAATTTCTGGTTACCCAAACTGTCTAACGAAACTTCAATAAATAATCAACAATATTGACAGAAGTATTTAAACAGCCCTGATATTCTTAAGGATGGTGATGAACACGTTACATTAAAACTGGGACATTTCATCAAGTAAAAAATGACACAAAATCTCAAAGCAAATTCCTCATTAGCAAGATGCTACCATAAGACATCTGAAGAAAAAAGCAGGCAGAAGTGGGAAAAACTGACCCCTGCCGAGGGCCAGCTGTGGAGGCCGTCAGACCCGGGAAGGGTAAATGGGGAAATCACATCCTCCCGTCTGAGCACAGAAAACATGGCTGAAGCATAGTCCAGTCCAGCCTTACTGCAGTGATCAGGCAAGAAATGTAAAACCCAGTGCTTGAAACCGGGGCGGCGGGGTGGCGGCGGCGGCGGCGGCGTCTGAGGGCTCATCCCCTGCTGGCGTTTGCTGTGTGCGGCGGCGTTGGCTGGAGAAAGTTATATAGAGGCGCTAAAGCGGAGACGCAGCCCCAGACCCGAGTCTACCGTGAGTACCCCGGCCGAGCCCCGAGACCTGCAGCTGCCCCCGAGTCAGAGGACCCAGTCTGCATTCAAAGGTGAGGGTCGCGGTGTCGGGCGCGGGCTGAGCGGTCGGGACTAGGGGCTGCGCTGGCGCGCTCCACTCCTTTCCGGCTCTGTGAGAGCCCTGAACACGGCCACGGCCTCGCCCTCGCCCTCGCCCCCGCCCCGCCGCATTCTTGGCCTTGTGGAACGGGTCGTAAAAGCAGGACCCTCTGCGTGGTGTTAGTGTGCGGTCGCTGCTGGCTGGGTTGGGCCCTCCTGTGAGGGAATCCGTTGGGCGAGGGGAAACGTGCGGGGCTCGGGCTGGGACCTGTGTTACGGGTCGGTGGTCTCCTGGGCGGGGGGCGGGGCTGCACAGGCGCCCGAAGCGACTGCGCCTGCACTGGGCTCTCGGCCTCTAGCGACTTTTTGCTGGGCGGGGGTCGCATCCTGTGTTTTTTCCAATTTCACAGCTTCTCCTTAGACTTTTTGGAAACCGACGGTTGGCTGGGTCATCAAAAGTTATTTCTTGTTTCTACAGACGGTAACGCAGAAGGAAGGAATTCTCACCTGACCCGGTTCTGGTAAATTAGAACTTTGGAGTCTGGCGCCTCACTTCTAACATTGTTTCTTAAAGCTTCGTTTTCGAGAGCTGTATGCTGAAAACGATATTCTCCAGATTTTTCACAGACAGTAGAGAAAGTGATTCTTACGCAGAGGGGCTTTGGGAACCTGTTATGATAACAGTCTCTTATTAGGTGATTTCTCATAGGCAGTACTGAATTGGAGGATTTTCTGAGATGTGACCTCAAGGGGAACCAGCGTTGGAAGTAAACTCTATTTAGTCAAAAAATTTTATTCGATGTTATAACTAATATTAACTTGTAGCTCTTACCTTTTGTTACCTAGAGCAAAGAAAACAAAAACTCCAGGAACATCTGCTGAGAAGAAAAACACTTTTTGCATACAAGCAGGAAAATGAGATGTTATCCAGGTGAGGTCAAGTTTCTTTCTTTTCACTTCTGTAAAATTATATCAGATCTGTCCAATAAAAATGTAAAGTAAACCACATCTAATTTAAAATTTTCTAGTAGCCACATTTAGAAAGTTTTTTTTTTTTTTAAACAGTCCTTAGATATTATTTTATATCTTTCTTTGGTGCAACGTCTTCAAAATCTGGTGTCTATTTTACACTTACAGCACATTCCAATTTGGAAGATCCACATTTCAAGCACTCGTAACAACTCAATAATCACATTTGGCTAGTGGCTACTTTACTGGATGGTGCAACATTAGAGCCTCGTTTTCTGCATAAATTAATTCACAATCTAAGCAAAACACAGTTATAAAGCAAAGTATGTGCATAGACCAGATTATCAACTTATGGTTTACACCACACAAAGGTCAGTCTTTCTATTATTTAGCAAAGCTTTTACTCAGTGTATGGGGGAGTTCTTCAGGGAAGGGTTGGGTGTCCCTCCCAAATGGTTACAGATTATTAATCGTAGTCTCAACCTCTGTACAAATATTTTTATTATTTTGCTAAAATATTTTAGATAGTACATAGTTGTAGCAAAAACAAAAACCCATGAAAGTAGATAAAGCAGAAAGGCAGAAGTTTTCCTTACTCCCTGGAGATAACCACTAATTACATCTTCACAGGCTCTTTACATCTAAGAGTGATAAGGGCCTGGGTTACAGTCCTTAAGTCTGCTACTACAGCTGTACAACCTCAGGAAAGATACTTGACCTCTTTGAGTCTGTTTACATATATTAAAATGGAATAGCAATAATTGTTTCTTGAGGATTAAATTATATAGTGAATGCATCATGTTATGCCTGTTATACAGTGAGAACCCAGCAAGTGGTAATACTTTTTAAATCTCTCTCTGTGGCATTACATTCAGTGAACTGGTTTTTGGAATACTTTATTCTCCTGGTTTCATTAATTTTCTTCCAACATCATTGCCATCCTCATGGGTCAAAAATCACTTTTGGCCAGGCGCGGTGGCTCACGCCTATAATACCAGCACTTTGGTAGGCCGAGGTGGGCAGATCACGAGGTCAGGAGATCGAGACCCTCCTGGCTAACGTGAAACCCTGTCTCTACTAAAAATACAAAAAATTAGCCAGGTGTGGTGGCACACACTTGTAGTCTCAGCCACTTGAGAGGCTGAGGCAGGAGAATCGCTTGAACCCAGGAGGCAGAGGTTGCAGTGAGCCGAGATTGCACCACTACACTGTAGCCTGGGCAGCAAGAGCAAAACTCTGTGTCAAAAAAACCAGCATCACTTTCATCTGCGCTTCTTTATATTAGGTAATTTATTGATATACTCTGCCCTTAAAAAGGCTTGATACCCTTTCTGATGGGAGAGAGTTGTCAGATTTTGCCAATTTTTAGAAGATAGAGCTGACTAGACCAGGTAATGGTTAGGTATGGGATATAAAAGAAAGAATGGAGTTAAAAGTCCTGAATATTCCTGAGTAAGAGAGGCTAAAGAGACATAACAACTAAATGCAACGCCTGACCTTATACCATATCCTATGCTGGAAGGAAGAAACAACATAAAAGACATTATTTGGTCAGTTGACAACTAAAGTGTGAACAGTAGGTTAAAGTAGTGTATCAAGGTAAATGTAGGTTAAAGTAGTGTATCAAGGTAAATATATTTGATTACTGTGGTTATGTAAGAGAATATTTCTGCTGGGCACGGTGGCTTACGCCTGTAATCCCAGCACTTTGGGAGGCCGAGGCAGGTGGATCACGAGGTCAAGAGATCGAGACCATCCTGGTCAACATGGTGAAACCCCTTCTCTACTAAAAATACAAAAAATTAGCTGGGCATGGTGGCACATGCCTGTAATCCCAGCTACTCAGGAGGCTGAGGCAGGAGAATTGCCTGAACCCAGGAGGCGGAGGTTGTGGTGAGCCGAGATTGCGCCATTGCACTCCAGCCTGGGTAGCAAGAGCAAAACTCCATCTCAAAAAAAAAAAAAAAAAAGAAAAAAAAGAGAAATATCTGAATATAGAGCCCACATCTCAATTGTGCCTTTGAAATTCTTTTTATCTAGTTTTAGTTTTCTTCTCTTCCTCCTTGAAATTGCCTGCCAATTTTCAGAGCCCTCTCCTTCCTTTATACCATTGTGAGTGGTGCACTTCTATTATTTTCCTGATTAAGATCATAATCCTCTTAAGGGAATGATCCTATAGTCAATATTACATTCTTCAATTGAATTGGGTTGCACTGGAGTGGACTGGAGTGATCAGTATTGTCACATTATAGAATTTCACCCACTGAAGTGCCAGTGTTCAGTGATTAATATTTCAAGTTAATGGATACTGTGCCCAAGTTTTAGTAAATTATTAACATTCCATTATAAAAGTTTGTCTTTGTTCTCAAATCAATCATCAGATTTAACCCAGAAATCAACTCATGTAAACATACAATGACAGAATTGTATTTTTCTCTAAACTTTCAGGACACTGAAAGAGAATTGAAACAAATTAGGCTTCGGTACACAAAGGAAAGTAAAAATCCAGAATAGAAATATAAATCTAAGGTAAGAAATACTTTTGTCTTTGGGTTCCATATTAAATAGCTGGCTGGGGAGCCACCTTGTGGTCTGCATTGCCTACATGATTTTCTCCGATTTTACAGAATTTTGTGATGTGAAACTAATGGTTTTAAGAATCTATAATGTCAAATAAAATTGACCTAGGGAGTTGTAATTTAATGGCTTTTATTGAATTGCTATACTGATTTTTTTCTTTGCTTTCTCCTAGAAAGGGGTAGAGTTCGAAATTAATTTAGACAAATGTATTTCTGATGAAAACATCTGTTGGGGTTCGGCATGTCTGCCGGGGGGCTCCTGACCTGCGGGAGTCCCTGAGACCACCAATGTAGATGTCTCGTTCAACCTGAGGGAGAGAGCGCATGGAAGTGAAAGAAGAAAGTAAAGCGGAGTCTGGAGGTTTGAATGACTTGTAGTCAAGCAGCAACTTTATTTTTGTAGGTGACAGCTTTTATACCTCTTTTCTTGTTACATTTACTTTATCTCAGCAGAAAAGTGGGTAAACAGAAAAGGGAACAGAAATCACGTAAAAATAGTTATCAGGGGCTTGTGATAACAGCTCACAAAGCAGTTTTAAGGGGGCTTATGATAATAGCTTACAAAGCAGTTTAAGGGGGCTTGTTAATCATGTTTTCTATCAGGAGGTAGAACAGAGGCTTAGCTCCTGAGAAAATCTGGGCAGGGGTCTTTGCCCCTCTCAGGCATCTCAATTGCGGCAAGCCTATTGCTTACACAGAGACTATAGGGGTTATGAAGCAGTCAGCACAATGTCCTCATAAACCGCAGGCCCTTACTCTGCATTCTGTTTTTGCCTCAGTGGCTTAGCCATTTTTACCTCGACTTGACAGCCCTTGAGAGCGGGGGGAGAGCAGATAGGTCCAGCAGCCAAGATGGGGCGAGTCACACTAACTGTCTCAAGCCCTTGGCGCTAACACTGCAAACATCCTCCAAGAAGAAGAGGTATGCCATTAAGTCTAAATTTCCATTAGTAGGCATGAGAAAATGCATATATCTTACCTAATAGCATGTTTCATGACATTATTTCACAGGCTGTAGGGATAATTTTTTTAACTTTTAGATTGGGGGATACACGTGTAGGTTTGTTACCTGTATATATTGCGTGATGTTGAGGTTTGAGATATGAATGATCCCATCATCCAGGTACTAAGCATAATTCTCAGTAGTTTTTCAAGCCTTGCTCCCTTCCTTTCTCCCCCTCACTGGAGCAGCTCCCAGTATCTATGCCATCTTTATGTCCATGAGTACCCAATGTTTAGCTCCCACTTATAAGTGGGAATATGCAGAATTTGGTTTTCTATCCCTGTGGAATTTGCCTTAGATAGTGGTGCCCAGCTGCATTCATGTTGCTGCAAAGGACATGATTTCATTCTTTTTAATGGCTGCATAGTATTCCATGGTGTATATGTACCACATTTTCTTTATCCAGTCCACCACTGATGGGCACCGTGGTTGATTCCATGACTTTGCTGTTGTGAATAGTGTTGGGATGAACATGTGTTTTTTTGGTAGAATTATTTGTTTTCTTTTGGATATTTTCAAAGTAATGGGATTGCTGGGTTGGACAATAGTTCTGTTTTAAGCTCTTTGAGAAGTATCCAAACTGCTTTCTATATTGGTTGAACTAATTTACATTACATTCCCACCAACACTACATAAGCATTCCCTTTTCTCTGCAGCCTCACCAATATTTATATTTTGACTTTTTAGTGATAGTCATTCTGACTCATGTGAGATGGTATCTCATTATGGTTTTGATTTGTATTTCTCTGATAATTAGTGATGATGAGTATTCTTTCATCTATTTGTTGGCTGTTTACATGTCTTCTTTTGAGAAGTGTCTGTTTCTGTCTTTTGTTCATTTTAAAATTTGGGTTATCTTTTCTTGTTCAGTTAAGTTCCTTATAGAGTCTGGATATTAGACCTTTGTTGGATGCATAGTTAGCAAAAATTTCCTTCCTTCTGTAGGTTGTCTGTTTACTCTGTTGATAGTTTCAATCGTTTCTTTTCCTGTGCAGAAGCTCTTTAATTAGGTCCCACTTGACAATTTTGTTTTTGTTGCAATTGCTTTTGAGGACTTAGTCACAAATTCTTTCCCAAGGCCCATGTTGAGAATGGCGTTTCCTAGGTTTTCTTCTAGGATTCTTTTAGTTAGAGAGTTAGAGGTGGTTTTTTTTTTTTGAAACGGAGTCTTGCTCTGTCACCAGGCTGGAGTGCAATGGTGTGATCTCGGCTCACTGCAATCTCTGCCTCCTGGGTTCAAGCAATTCTCCTGTCTCAGTCTCCTGAGTAGTTGGGACTTCAGGCCTGCGCCACCATACCCAGCTAATTTTTATATTTTACTAGAGATGGAGTTTCACCATGTGGGCCAGAATGGTCTCAATCTCTTCACGTTGTGATCCACCCACCTCAACCTCCCAAAATGCTGGGATTACAGGCATGAGCCACTGTGCCTGGCCATAGAGATCTTACATTTAAATAGTTAATTCATCTTGAGTTAATTTTTGTATACAGTGAAAGGCAGGGGTCCAGTTTCATTCTTGTGCATATAGCCAGCCAGTTATCCCAGCACCCTTTATTGGATAGGAAGTCCTTTCCCCATTGCTTATTTTTGTCAGTTTTGTCAAAGATTAGATGCTGTAGATAGGTAGCTTTATTTCTGGGTTCTCTATTCTATTCCTTGGTTTATGTGTTTGTTTTTGAACCAGTACCATACTGTTTTAGTTACTGTAGTCTTATTGTATAGTTTGAAGTTGGGTAATTTGGGACTCTGACTTTGCTCTTTTTGCTTAGAATTACTTTGGCTATTTGGGCTCTTTTTTGTTTACATATGAATTTTAGAATATTTTTTTTCTAATTCTGTGAAAAATGACATTGGTAGTTTGATATAAATGTGTTGAATCTGTAGATTGCTTTGGGCAGTATGGCCATTTTAATGATATGGATTATTCCAATCCATGAGTGTTGAATGTTTTTCCATTTGTTTGTGTCATCTATGATTTCTTTCTGTGTTTTGTAGTTCTGCTTGTAGAGATCTTTCACCTGCTTGGTTAGATGTACTCCTAGGTATTTTATTTTATTTTTTTTTTGGTGGCTATTGTAAATGGGATTGCATACTTGATTTGACTCTCTGCTTCAGTGTTCTTGATGTATAGGAATGCTACTGATTTTTATACTTGATATTGTATCCTGAAACTTTGCTGAAGTTGTTCATCAGCTCCAGGAACCTTTGGGTGGAGTCTTTAGGGGTTTCAAGGTATAGAATCATATAAGAGGTAGTTTGACTTTTTCTTTTCTTATTTGGATGCCTAGAATTTTAAAAAATATTTCTAGAAAAGTATTTGGTGTTCAAATGAGTCTTCCAAATGCTTTTTATTCTCCCATTTTATTTTATTGTGGTTATTTCTTTAGGTGAATTATTATATTTTAATTTACTTTTCTTTAAATAAAGGAGCTATTTTACTAGTAATGTTAATTGTTATCACAGCCAAATTAAAATAGAAGACCTGATATATAGTCAACAACTAATATAATGACCTAAAAAATTGAACAGGTACCCTGAAACCAGGCACATTTATTTTAGGTCTTAATTCGTTATTGATAACGTTGGGTAAATCTCATTTATGCATTTGGGCTCTCCTTGCCACAGCAATAACTGCCTCAAAACAGGAAATCCAAATTTCATTTTATTACTTGATTTTAACATTTTTTTAATCCTGGTTTTATCAGACCTATAACAAATGTCAAAATTCACTGGTTATTTTTCCATCTTACCTTTTCTGAATTCACCTCTTAAGTCAATGTAGGTATGAATAATTATACATGATGCTCAATCTTTTTCTTTAATGTTCTTTTTTAGCTGAAAACATCTTCATGTTAGCATTTCTTATTTTTATGAGCATTTGCTACATAAAGACTTCATTAGAGTTGTGATAGTTAGCATTCACCTCTGTTCAACAATAAGTTCCTAAATGCCCCGGAGCTGTGACATCAGAGTGGAACAGATCTGGGGACCTGTTTCTGGATGGGAACTTAAGAAGTAGTACTCGCACAGAGCTTCTGTGAAGTGAGGTGCTGTTGTTGCCCTGCTGAAATGAAAGAATGGAGCCCAAGAAGTTTTAACTGCCATTCTTTTTTATTCTTTGCTTCTCTCTGCTTGAAACAGAAGTTGTCATTTTGGTATTGACTATAGAATACTAGGAGCAGATTTAGGCACCTGGTTAAGAATGTTGTATACTTAAAGCAGGGCATGAATGACAAAATCTTGAGAGCACTGTAGCATGGAGCTGAAGTGGAATAATATTGAAGGCAGAAAGTCTAGATAAAATTAAGTTGCCTTATGACCAGTGCTTGACACTGTTGATCCGAAGAAGAAATGAAAACATTTCTATTTTTATCTTATTCTGACATAGCTCTAGTTTTAAAACTCTACGGAATTATTTAGTTTTACTAGGAACACAAAAAATGTGGTTTTTCTTTCTTTCAAAATATGGCTTATTTATCATGAAACACTGTGGAATTGCTTTAGGTAATGGGTATACTAAATGAAACTTTGACCTTTGAGGATGGCATGAAGTTTAAGGAGTATACATGTGTAAAGGAGCATGAAGATTATACCGACAAAGCATTTGAAAAACTCCACTGCCCAGAAACAGGCACGTGTCTCTTGAAAGTTGTAACTGAGAAGGAACTGTTTATTAGCAACCCGTCATGCATCTGCCTCGCCTCCACTGTTACTTGACCCTCTCTGCTCTCCCTGAGCAAGGCAGAAACACTTCCTATTCTCCTGCCACCCGTGCAGAGGTGACACTCCCTGAGATCCAGCCCTCCTCTCTTGCTCCACACCCACTCCCTCCTGCAGCTTCAGCTTCTCCCAGGAGCTCCAGAGTTACCAGTCTTTCTCATTATCCTCTGGGAAACTCCATGGACAAGTGTTGCCAGTGTCTGAAACTCAGCTGTGTAAAGTCAAG